TGCATTTCCTGGAGGATGACCGTACACTGTGGGTGCAAATTGCATACCAAAGGACAGGATGACTTTGGTCAGTTCATCCAAGAATACTTGCGCCTTCTCCTCCTCTTCGAACATGAGAGCGATGTCGTCTGCGTATTTCAGATGGACAAGGTTTTCGTCACAGGCTATTTGAATACTGGGGTTCTGGAGACCTTCCAGCGTTCGTCTCATGGTTTCATCGATCACAAAATTAAACAGGAATGGAGATATTGGGCATCCATGACGGACACCACTTTGTGTACGGAAACTTTTGGAGAGCTCGCCGTATACTCCCACACGTCCGCAAGTCTGGGAATACAAGGAGATTATTGTGTTTACAAACTTCCGGGGCATTCCTTAGTGGGCAAGCGTGTCAAGCAGAACAGACTGGTCAACCGAGTCAAATGCGCTTTGGAAATCCAGGAACACTAGAATTGTGGGTGGCTTGTGCGTGTGGCGTTGTTCTTGCACCTGACGAAGTGTGGAGATTTGGTCAACGCAACCCCCACCAGGCCGGAATCCCGCTTGCTACTCTCGAGTCAGTGTCCCACGAGCCACCGTACGGCCACGAAGGACAAGTGACGCCAACAGTCTTGTTACGGCCGGGTTCAAGCTGATCCCCCTGTGGTTGCCACACTCACTACGAGCCCCTTTGTTCGAAAATGGGCACTATCACCGACTCCAGTTGTCTTGGTCAGACTCCTTTTCCCAAATTCAAGCAAACAGATCGGACAGGCGCTGGCTGAGAACTCCACCCCCGTCTTTGAACAATGCCGGTTGGAGGCCTTGTGGACCAGGAGCTCGGTGGCGCTTGAGAGAACATATACAATTGTAAACCTCTGAGGCCGTAGGTGGTTCCATGTTTACAGTCCAGGGTTCTACTTCACCTATGGGCGCTAGATAAGTGCCAGCTGATGGCCACGACAGCTGTTGATCGAAGTATTCAGTCCCTCGGTCGAGGCGTTCTTCTTTATTCGAGATGGTTTTTCCATTCTGATGGTTTCACTCACACGGTCACACGAATCAACTGAAATAATCTTCGGGCATTATCGGCTTTCCGGGCCTCTTCCACTTCTATGGCTTTCTGTGTCCATCATACTTTGCGGTCGGCTCGCACGCTTACTTTCACTTGATGTCTGATAACTCTTCGCATCGAGTTATGTTCGGGACCAGCTTGGATATTTCTCCGAGATTTAAGTAGTGCCACCGTTCGGATTGATATCCAGTGCTTGTGTGCGCCTGGTTGGGTCGTGCCACAGGCAAAATTCCCGGCACTATGCAAAGAGGTGGTAATCTCGTCTCAGTATAAGTCCACAGCTGATGGTGGAACATTTGGAAGAGGCTCTAGAAGATGATTCTGGTAAATTCATCTAACATTCGGATCTACCAGTCTCTCAGTTGCCAAGCGATTCGTTCGTACCTTACGCGGCCCCGGGAAACGTAGGGTGAGACGACTCCGGACAAGCGCGTGGTCAGAATCCACAAATGTGTTCCAAAACGCCATCGGTAGCTGATGGCGATGTGATCGATTTGAATTTGTCACCAGCATGCCATTGGAGGACACCGTGTTGCCAAACGACTTCGGCTATTTCAGAAGTTAATAGTGCATGAAAACAGCCTGCGATCAGCACACCGCTGCAGCAATCGTTCACTGTTGTCCGTACGTACCGAGTCCAATCCATGTCGACCTCCTAATTGATCCTCAGATACACTAAGCCTGCCCTGTTGTGTATTCATATCTCCGACAACCACCACGATGTCTGAGCCCATAGATTGTCGCAGCAGGGCATTCGGGTCGTCGGAGCTACAGTCATTTGGGGCGTAGACAGACACGATAAACGAACATCTATCAACTTGCCGCTTGTTAGACCTCCTTCAGACGAACCACACAGAGGCGACTATCAACAGGCATCCAGTCAAGTAAGGATACTTCCGCCCGGTGACTTAGCCCGATACCGACCCCAACACATCCCGCCGCAACAGCCTCTGAATCACCAGAGGTGCGCATTTGGAAGCGAGTGGAGACTGATGAGGCGGTTTGCTCAATCACTGCTTGTATCTTGAATTCATGCCTCTGATATACAGCACACATCAATGCCAAGCGAGTCCAGTGTGAATGTAAGGGCAGTTTGTTGTCCTGCTTGCTTCGTAGTGTGGAAATTGTACGCGACCAGATAGAATGGGTTTGTGCTGCCTTCAACTAGGCGCAGTGGGGATCACGCTTTCCCCATCCTGGAAGGCGAGTAGCACCGCAGCACCCAAGAGTTTCGTGATATTCTTCATACTCCTGTGCCAAGTTGAGGGTTGGCCACCTCTGCTCCCGCCACTCTGAATCGGGCATGTAAACAGCACTCTCTTCGGCAAGCGATGGTTCGACACACGCAACTCATGTCCCAACCAGCGCAGCTTCTGGTTCTGGACACATCCTTCAATGGAAGTGCCCGTTGCACAACCGCAAACGCGCTTTCTAACTGCCTTATTACAGAGTCGCTGACACCAACCCACACGAGCTGTGGTTCTGAGATTATCGAACCCCTGACGACTTCTCAGTTCCGCTGCTCGAATAGGCCAACTCTCACAACTATACAATGAAACAAACCGGATTGTAGCCTGATACACACGTCCCTTGAGACTCAGGGATACACGACTTTGACGCCATAGATGTCTCAAATTGGCAAACGTGACCCGAGCCTTGCATAATCGTGCATCGACTTTACCTGTCACACTACAGTCGGAACAAGTACAACTTCCGAGATACGTAAAATACTCCACAACTTCAAGTGACTGCTCCTGGATCGTAAGTGGCGCTCGATCGTTCGATCTTTCAGCTGTAACACTTTCGGTGTCTAGCTGCGATGCCACCCGTAGGAAGCATGAGGGCTAGGATATCACCAGGTTGCCCAAGCCTAAACAGGCCACTTGTTACGTCGGACTACGTTTTCGGAAATGAAACTTTCTCAACTACCAATATCAGCAAATGCCCGAAGTGGAACGCCATTGGCTTTCATATCGGTGCCTACTTCATTGAGACACTTGGGCCGCTGCAATGACGCAAGATAGTACATTTGAAACAGATTCATTAATCGGACCAGCTGTAGATCTGCAGACTTTTTGAAAATGCCCTTTCTCCGTACAGTTTTTGCAAGTCGCGCCTTTAAGAGAGAAAAGAAAGAAAGCGTTCAGCTGTAGCACCCTTCTGGTGCCTAGCTGCCATGCCACCCGAAGGAAGCACGAGGGCTAGGATACTGCCAGGTTGCCCAAGCCTAGACAGGGGAAGTCGAGTGGCGGAGGTCGGATTCGAACCACGGCCCTTCCGGTCAGTAAAGTCGCACTCTAACCACTTAGTCCATCTGGCCCACCACTAACAATAGACAACACAGAAAAGATTGCCTTTATACAGACAGCTGTTTACGTCCCCATGTATATTTCTCACTCAATCGTAAACAAGAACTTGGTCAACAAGACCTCCAAGCGGGAGTTCTTGATAGTGGTGGGTGACTGGAGCGCTCGACTACAACACACACCATATACTTGGGGTCGAGATAACTCAGTGGTTAGAGCGTGAATTTACTGACCGGAAGGTCTGTTGTTCGAACCCGACCTCAGTCTCCCGACTTCCCCTGTCTAGGCTCGGGCATCCTGGTAGTATCCCAGCCCTCATGCTTCCTTCAGGTGGCGTCGCAGCTAGGCACTGAAAGGATGGTACAGCTGAACAATTATTATCATTATTACTTGGCCGGTTTGAAACGGTTACGGGCTGGTAGACTTCACTCTTAATCGGCTTCGGTGAACTTTTGGCCCCAACAGTTTTTGCTATGTGGAACGAATTGAGAGATCCTAAACAACTATGATTGGAAGATTGACCGATGAGCCGAATAATTCAAACAGTTAAGCCGCCCGTAAATCAAGACTTAAAACTGGTCTAGCCTCAATAACATATGACGTCAAGTGTGGCCAGCGAAGTGAACCGGAGATCGCTGTGATTGAGACAACGGAGGAGCAGAAATGTCTCCGCAGGGAACAGAGTCCGTGCGGAGGTCTACAAATCCTGTATCTTCGCACCTCTCAAACAGTGTGGGTAACTGATTCCGTTTCGCTGGGCTGGGTATCTCAATTTTACTGGTGATCCCCAAAATAGGCGACGGAACTGTCTGTGATAATTATCATCTTTTCTGCTACAACCTGCTTCCGAACGCGGTCTACGCACTTCAGGCCAAACCAAGGAGGATTCCGTGAGCCATTCGGCACAGTCCTGGCGATGTTTCGTCGCGAAGCTGGTAGACCTCATTAGGTCCTTTAACTGATCAGTGACTGCTCGAGTCCCCGTATATGGTGATCGATCGGAGAGTTCTACATCGAGTTTTACGTACGGGAAGGCTGTCCAGTTTCACTGGTACCATAACTCTGCCATTGATTTATCACCTGAACTTGGATTGAAGAGTTCATCTCGTGTCCACTTAGCTTCCCAAAACCCGACAGGCGACCTGGAGTACGCTGGTGATATCGTGTTTTGTGCTGACTACCGTAGAGCAATCTGGCAACAAATTGCGAAGCTTTTGCGCAAATTGATCGGGATTCTTATCTCCGTCTCGCCTACAAGTATTCAAACGATGCTGGGCGAAAATTTCATTTCTGGTTGTACATAAATTTCTCACAAGGTTGCAGTAGCTGATTCATGATCTTTAGAGTCTTCGATGAAGCGGTTTACACTGGGAGCAACGTAATCGAACAATGTTTTTAGTTTACCTGGTGATTGAGAAGCAATCGACTCTAGAAAATTCGCGAAATTATGTCGTTTTGAGTATTGAGATCGACATTGAACCCTTTAGGACGTGAGAATCGATGTATTGTTCGTTGAAAATTTTTGGATGTTCGGTGACGGATGGAGTGCAGTGGCAAGCAGAATAGGAACGGGCCCAGAAGCTAGGCTTTATTCATCCAAAATCTTGACACAGCTGAAAACGATAAAAAGTGATTTAGCAATGAATGGTGAAACAATGGATGAACAGAGCAAATGTACAACAGGTGGGCCACCTGACACGGCAAGATGAACAGCCTACTAGTCCTCTGACACAAGTTACATGGCCAAGCCAGAGAAATGTGTCTAGTTTATCTCTCGGGAGAGTTACTTTCCTTGGAGACCACCTGGCGTTCTTCTGTATTACCGACCAGATGTTCCTATTTGATCTGCGCCGTGTATCGAAGACACTGATGGTCACACAGATCACTCGAGGGTCTTCACGCAGCTGCCACGTTTTTGACCCTTAAAGTGGGGAAGATTACCCTGCGGCAGTGAACACTCTACCCTTGACAGCCAAACTTGTGTCTCGTCGGCGCCACAAATACCGAAGCTTAGCAAGTGCTATCCTAACCTTTCTGACTCAGGAGATGACTTCACCATTCCTCGGTTCATCGGGGTTATGCAGCTGCCCAGATGGAAGAACTTATCTATCAGCTTGATCACTTTATGTGCATACCTTAGACTTGGATTTGGTCCCACCCAGTCTTACAATGTAACCTTGGACTTTACGGATGTTAAGCGCATGCCCAACCATGCAGCAGAATTATTTAATTTCAAATCTATGCAAGTCTAATCGTTTGTATCCAAAGGTAATATATTTCCAACATATAGTTCAGTAGTTAGAGTGCCAATTTACTGTCAGGAAGGCCCGTGGTTCGTTACCGACCTCTGCATCTCGACTTTTCCAGTTTAGGCTTGGGCAACCTGGCTGTATCCCAATCTTCGTGCTTCCTTCGGGTGACGTAGCAGCTAGGAATCAAAAAGGTGTTACAGCTGAACGATTAGTATTATTATTACCGTCCGAGAGGGTGAAAAGAGCAGGGAAGAGCATCAAATCTAACCATAAAACTCTGTGGGCCCAGAAAGCTGGGATAGAGGAAGGGGAAGCCTCTGAGAGCATGCATAACCTGTTTGAGCCGATACGTCCAACAAACCCAGAAACAATCACTGATAACAACAGCTTGGTTATTTCTAAAGCAAAAAACCTGAACTATTGGGCCGAACGCTTTCAACAGCAGTTCAACTGGCTCAATTGGATGCTCAAACCAAAACGGAATCCTGGAAATTCGGATGGCTTCGGGAACACACCAAGGTCTTCCCTCCCTCAAGCCCCACTGAGCTACTGGTCCTGACGAACTCCCACCCTCTCCATTTAAGAATGGAGGTGAGATCCTCAAGTGACGCTTACCTAACTTACCTGCCTCTGCCCAGACGAAGGGGACCATTCTAACCAGCTGGGCTGAGTGAATACAACTGCCTACTCTAAAAAAATGCTCGGGCTGGATGTGGTAGTCGCAGACGAATTAGGTGACTCTTCGTTGTGGTTAATCCATGTATTTTCCTCAGCTTAGTTCTCAGTCTGGACCCCCCCCCCCAAGCTAGCGTTCCCGTTAAGACAACCACCAAAGGTGCAAAACGTTTATTAACGCACAAAACCAAGTCAAAAACACTTGTACAGCGCGTCGTATATGAAGTGTATGCCGGGACACCTGGATGCACCATTGGCAACTGGTATTTGGCGAATACTGAGTCATGATTGGCTGTTGGGTCCAGACTTTCGACCGACCACAGCTCGCCCTGATGTCGCAGCGGCAAGCGGCCCGAACTTATCGCTAATCTTGCGCGGGATAGGCTTCTTAGCCGTAGCAGTACCTAAATACGAGCGGTATCGCCCAACAATCCGTTTGCGTCATCCTACGAGAGTGCGTGAAGACGGGATCTGAGAACAGCAAGCGGGATTCCGGCCGGGAAAGGGTTGTCCGGACTACATGTTCACATTCCGTCAAATGTTAGGGGAACGGCATGCATTTATTTGCCCTTGACTTCAAGGGCGAATTTTTTTCTGTTGGTCGGTTTATTCCCATGAGCCACTGTTAAAAAACTTTGCTATGAGTCCTGGTGTCCTTCAAAGACATCCACTCTCTCCTTTATTTAGGTTCATCATTGATGGGGGGATGCGGCTAACCCTGCGGCCTACAAACTCCTGGTGTTCAGACCCCAGCGAGAGTCTTGTTGACCTGGAATATACAGACAACATTGTTATCACTTTTGGAAGGAGCAGAATGCACAAGCACCGCTAGGAAAGCCCATCAAGGTCATCCAATCCTCTGGTGATTTCACACCTACGAATCGCTAGTGCAGAAATTCCCTGTTGGTCCAAAATGAATAATTGACCAGGCCTTTTGGACCGCCAGCCAACTGTACCCAGTTGGAGCCCCAGACACCTGTTTCCGTCTTTCAGGAAATTGTGTTGAGATTACAGAGGACGTCTGATTAGCGGATCCCTCTGGGGCAATTCTCAATGGCTTACACATCGAGATAGACTGATTTCCTGCAATCCGCTTCGACCACATCGGGATTCTTAGACGCGTAGTGGAGTATTATCTGCCCACAGGGCCTCGCTCGATCAATGTTAACCATTCAAATGTTTTCGTATGTCTGCGAAGTACTACTAAAATAGACTTCTCTCGTATTTGTTTACCTCCATTAGTGGGAGCCCCGCGATTAGACACATAGAGAAATTGGTCCGGTTACGCACCTACTGGTGTGCACTCATCCAAACTATTGTTTATTGCATAACTGGTCTTCTAAGTCTCCACATTTAACAGATAGACGCTCGTTTGGAAAGTTGTTGCTTCGACGCCGCAGAAATTTGAGGTGATGGGTACCAGTGGTGCCTTTTAGTTAGGACAAAACCGTCGCACAAAGGTCCTTGCTCGGAGCAGGGTTTTAGTTACTGTACTTTATGCGCAGTTTGTACCTGATAATGATCATGAGGCCTAGTTTTCCTGGGTTTCTGAATGCCGGACTTTGGGGCAATGATAAAAAATACAGTTTTGACTTGAATTATTGTGCTTGGCTGATGTAGATCCATGAAAAGTCCGGCCACGTGAGATATTCTCTCTTAATTGGGCCCGTCTGTTTAGACTATGGAGATCGGTCGCGTGATTTAGAAGGCAGTCATTCTGTTGAAGATCATACAACCAATTATCGTATGCCCAGCTGGCTGTTTGACTGGTGCGATTGTATTGCGCTTATCATTTACGAATTATCTCATTGATGCCAACGATGATGATTGCAATGTGGACAGTGATGATGGTAACGATTATACTGACGATTTCGACGGTAATATTGATAGCAGCGAGACCTGAGTAGTTTTTCTCACCAATCAATCTTAGTTACCGTGTTCTCCTGGTGGCTCAACTGCACCACCTTGTTACAACTCACAGTTAGCCGGGATCCTTCTTTTCAGCGCGCGCGAATGCCAGGTAGGGTCATTCCTCACTCCTGGATTTTAGTGACATGCTAAGTACTTTCTAGTGACAGCCGAATGGTCGTCGGTTTCGGGCTCTATATTGTACTTTTTTACCGGGAGCTTTTAGTTCGATCGTGGTACGCGTTGATCTCATTCGGACTTTTTTGTTTCAGTTACTTTACTTGTTGGCTAAACTAATTACATCGTAGCAACATTCAACTACGGATGTTAAAGCTACACTGTTTCACAGGAGTACGAACTGATTAGGTTGATTAGGTAATGCTAACTTCTGCTCTTCTGATTTGTTTGTTAAGCCAGCATAAACCAAAGGGAATAAGTGCACTTAACTCCTACAAGTCCCAGCTGCTGTCATTTTCAACTCAGAGGAACTTATATGGGTCAAGACACAAATTCCGCCCAAGTAGTCCACTCTCGTGCTATAGGTCGAGAGTAGGCCATCACTGAACGATTTGATATGGTATTGACTAAATGTATTGGTCCCGAGATTTACGTCCGGCGCATCCTCGAGAGCGTCGGTCCACTGCATCTGTGGGACCCCCCACATACCGGACTCTAACGGCACGCAAGTGTGGAGTATGACCGAACCCTAATTTATGTATAGTACACCATTGTCTTAATCCGATAATATGGTTTTTCCGTCGATTCACATAAATTGACTCGCTGTCTTCGTACTTTGTGTTTTATCATCACTAAGATTCACTCTTGGTCTATCTGGCAATTATGTAGAAACTGAATGTCACAGTTCCCTTAGTATCCTCTGATATCATTTCTTTGTCCAACATATTGTTACGTTATGAGTACCAGTGGTGAGTACTACCATAACACTCTATTATTCCTCCTATTCCAGTTACAGTCAGTACGGCGTCAATCATGAAAGGGTACGTGGTACCCCTTTTTGGCCCCCACTTACAACACCCACTACTGGGATCAACTTGAAAACCATCCCTTGTTCGACCGAACGGTATTCATACAAGCTAGAAGGACAGGCTTCTTGCCTCAACGTATTCCAGCCAGATGCAATCAAGCGCAGCAATCGGAACCAGCCTGCACCCCAGCTTTCCCGTATCTTACGTCCACGTCGTTTCGTATGCCGCAAGTGTAAGAAGGCTTACCACATCAAGGAAAACGGAACTGAAATGTCATCGGGCACTCTCCCCTCACAAACCGAACGTGTGAATGGTGACTCAAGTGCGGCTAATTCTGATAATGAACTAGCTGAACTCACAGCAACTACTGCGAATGGGAAGATGATTCGTCGGAACCAAACCTCGTTTACGGTGATGGACGCCTCTTCGCAATCTATTAAGCATGTCACTCCATCCATCATTCCGAAACTCAATGAAGATTACACCTTAAGCGGCCGCGAATCAGAGGTAGACAGTAACTCCGATGATCCTGTCGTAAACAAACGCAGACGCATACACACATCGGAGAAATCTGCGGTCGAAACGAGCGATTCTGTGATCGATACATCAGTTGCTCCACTAAGGCATAAACCAAACAGTCCCCTGATGCAGCGGTCTAAAAAGTCGAGGCGAGTTCCTCCACAAGTGGCCTCATCAGAGGTATTGCAGTCCCAGACAACAGAAGCCAATCCAACGACCCAGCAGCGAATAACACCAGAAAAAACTGCATCAGTCGTCACCAGTGACTCTTCATATCGTGGCTTTCCCCCCCAACCCGTTCCAAAAGCTGACAATTTTTCGACGAAACCATCTGATTCTGTGGTTAGGAAGAATCGCATTAAAGCACAGTACGTTTCTGTTGCCACTCCCTTCCGTTTTCCACCGAGTCGATCTTCGAAGCCCAATCTCTTATCAATCACGCAGCTCACAGGAATCCAGAAAGATAGAGGTCTCGTAACGAACAAGCGTCCCCAATCGCGCGAAGGCAAATCCTCGGTCCATCAAAGCGAAGCTAAGAAACCCAGCCTGAATGAGTCACGTTCACCGTCAACAACTGTCACTCCTCGTGTTTCGTCGAAAAAGTTTGTAAACAGCTCTGACTTGGCGTCCTCAAGGTACCGCACCAGGAGTCGACCTGGCAGTCTTCAAAATTCTGGGGTGAACGATAGTCAGTCTAACACTGTCTCTCCCGACACTACCTGCCACACTGCCCCAGTGCAAACCGCACAACAAGAAATGTTGAACATCTCTACGCAAAAGGAAGCTCCTTCCGACTCGGGTAATCAGACCATTGAGGATCATTGCATGGCGGCTATCGATGCTCTTGAGAAGCCAGTTCCAGCTTCTGACTCGTCAGATTCGATTATCCGGGTGTCCGTAGACAACAGAGAGAAATTCCAAGTTGCGAACCGAACAAAGGCGACGGACTACGAGAAACCGAAGAATCGCTGGATTCGTGAGGCTAGAGCTCGTCGATCCCAGGAAGAACGCACATCCTTGTCCGTTGCACCACCCTTGGGTTCGAGTGCTCCAGCGAGCCTTGACCCATGTTCCACTGCTTGCGACCCACAGTATGTTGATGTGTGTGCTGTTTCTCCTTCCAGTACTTCTCGGCTTCGATCAAGGTCCAATGAGCCTGTGATCCTTGTTTCTTCTAACTCCATGTGTCTTTCACCCAAAAGTAGTTCTGTGTCCAAAAAGCGGAGCCAGCAGTTGACAATTTGTTCCGTGGATGTAATGCGCAGTAAAGCTACTGTTGAAGAAGAGTCAACTGTGGATGAGAAAACTAAAGTTATCTCTACACCAAATACAACATATCAGCAATTGTCTCCTCATCCTAGCCATCAGACGGAAACCACAGGCGTAAGCCTGCCCGTACTGAAAATTAAAATCAATCGACAAAATCAGTCATCTGCCGATCCGAATAGTTCAGCCCAATATGAGGTCGTCGGTTCACAAGTTACAAGTGAAAATGACTCCTCCGCTGCGACAAACACAGTTGATGACCAGTCGGTAGCACAGAAGACTGGTGGGTCTTTGACAGTTTCTTCTGCCGATAGTTCATTTGAAACCCTCGATCCTAAGGTGGCCCCAGGTGCCGGGGGAATGTGGACTTCCTCTCCAACTTTATCAGGGTCATCATCCAGAAAAGGTACGAATTCAGCAGATTTGGGACACGAGGTGAAGAAATGTCGTCTTTCAGACGGCACCGTTTTTCGAGTTGGCGATTTGGTTTGGAGCAAACTGTCTGGATGGCCTTCTTGGCCTGCTCAAATTACCAGTATTCATAGGATATCAACAAGTGATGTAGAGTCGAAATCGGTTGGAGAGTCCGAAGCGTCTAACGGATCACAACAGAAACCAAGTTCTCCGATGAACTCAAAACGCTTGTCCTATGTGGCATGCTTGCATTGGTTTGCCTGGCACCAGGTGTCTTATATGCCTTGTGACAAATTGTTTCACTTTCTTCAACACTACAAACGCTTTGATAATAAGAAAAAGCGTGGGATTTTCCGTCAAGCCGTTAATGAGGCGCGACACAAGTCAGATGAGAAAAAAGCCGTTTCCAATGTATCATGCGACTCTGACGTAACCGATGAACCGGAGACCGATCTTCCTTCAGAAACTAACGAACAGTTGATGGATAAAGTGCCCAACTGTTCAGAACCCGTACTTTCGGTGGTGAACGTCGAGGCTGTGACATCAGAAGTTAGAAGTGCTGAGGATTCAGCCACCGGAATGCCCGATGAGACTATAGAAAGCACCAAGCCACCACCAGTTGTATCCGCTGCGATCACAGAGTCTTCCACATCGGAAACCATTCCTCCCGTGACCATTCGTCGGGGTAGTAGTCACCGGGGTCGCACGCGAAGCTTACGAGGCAGGCGGGGTTGTTCCGTGAAGGCGTCGGATTGCGTTCGCAGTAGTCCTCGAAATTTACCTATTTTTATTCCCTCTGAAGCTTGTGTCCAGCCATTTGCCGGCAGAAGACGAACTGCCGCTGGACGGACACGAGGCGTTGGTAGGGGACGAGGTCGAAAAACGATCACACAGACCAACTCGACCTCTACGACAGAATTACCTCATTCGGACCGAAACACCTATATTATATCCGAGCCTAGTGGATCCAGTGGAACGCTGAAAATCGTACTTTCAACCTCTGGACTCAAACTGTCCCACCGGGGCAGTCGTAAGGATTCTTCACTCAGAAGGGGGAAACCGAAGAATGTCCAACCCAAAAAGCTCCAGGAAGGTGTTCGTTTGTCTACGAAAAAAGCGGAATCCAAGTCTCTCGGATCTGAATCACTGTGCGAAGTTACTCCTGTCTCCGAGTCCCAGATTCCCGAAGTTACCGGACTTAGGCAATCGGACCCTCCTAATACTGATCCGTACTCTGACCCGTCGGCCGAACTCCTCTCACAGTTCCCTCACGTTTTTCCGGATCTCAGGGCATCTGGCATTTTATCCGATGCAGTGGATATTCCAACGTTTTCTGAGGATGAATCCGAAGAGGAAGATGCCGGACGTTTGATAATTGATCCCGATGTCATGGCATCAGTCAATTCAGCTGGCTCTCTATCTATACCGCGTGTAGAAACAGAACAACATCCCAAACCAGACACAAGGACAGTTCCGCAGGAATACTATAACACCACCTACTTTACGGGAGTTCAGAGGAAGGAACACATGCGATCGGATCTTTGCACCCCTTACCAATTTATGCCGGTTACACTTTCACGGCTCTCCGATACCGTGTTTTCCACTACAGCTAATTCCAATGCCCCCTCTACCGTGTACAGTATACCGACGACCAATAACAGGTTTTCAAGCCTGGCAGCACAAGAATCCACACAAACACATGTCCCTCCCGCCCTCCTTTCTCAGACATCGTCCCAGCTGGGCCTGTCCCATTCTCCTCTCCAACAGTTACCACACCACTCATTTGATACATCCTCTGTGGATCACAGATTATCCTCTTATTTTCGACCTTCTAGTCAAACTGGGGCTCCTATCACAGTAGCGAACAACGTGGTGCCTTATCTCACATCGAACTACCCAAATCTGTGAATGGTGAGTTAACCTTGCTATCCTGTTATTTGAATTTAACTTTTACCTTTGTTCTATCATCATTATACCTTGTTTATTACTCGGTCTGTATACAGTTGCCTCTTCTGGAGAGCCAACCAATGCGCAACTACTAATCTCACCTCCCCAAATCGTCGGTGGACGAAACTGTGACAGCTGCAACCACTGTACGAAAAGTAGGGCCCTACACCTGATAATGATGATGATGATGAAAGTACCATTTTCAGCCGGTCCCTTGTAACACATTTCAATGATAAACCCCCGCTGAGAGAAGTCAGCCTCGTAGATCAGGTTACTTCTGGCCAGTCCATTAAATGTTGTCCGTTCAGAGGTAGTACCAAGCAGTCGGATTGGGGTCTGTTTTTCTCACCTCATCATCTTACTGGTTGCTTCTTTTGTGCTAAAAGTTCATCGTTACATTTGGCTTTACATCACATTTCGGATTGTGGAAAAAAGTCAGTTGTCCGCTTTGAGATATCGAGGAGGTCGGGAACAGGTTTAGGTATCGTTTTGAGCTTTTGTCTGCTACCCTTTTTGAAGCGAACTACTTAAGGTCTTATGTTAATCACAATGAAGTACACCGCATTAAACATTCAAGACGAGCGTGTATTTTGCTACTGCATAATTCTGTTGCACATTTCATATTATCCTTTCTTTATGCTGGCCATATCAGCCATGACTATAGAGGCCATCTTTCTCAGCTTCAGAACTGCAGTCTCTTTGGGGTGCATGCTGACGTGGCGAATAGACACCGTTTACCGCATCGCCCTGCCTTGATCAGACAAAGATCCACTTTAGTGAAGCACTTTCAGCTCTGGGTCTGATCGCAATCCCACACCGTAGGTAACATGAGCCATTGTGTCAGGATCGCCAGACACTTGAATAGGGAAGCATCTGAGTTCTTGCTACGTGGCTTGGTGTGTGACCGAAGTGTGGATTCTCTATGCGTGTTTCTGAGACAACACACATCGACTGAGAGAAAGCAAGGTTTCTGGAAGAGATGACTGCTACCCAGTTTGACAAACAGTACGGACACTGAAAGTTGTAACGGTTCAGTACCAGATTGTCTTGGTTTTTTACTGCACGGTATTTCAGCCACGGAACATTAGTTAAGTGACTAACGACTGGGTGGGCCGCAGTGGACGAGTTGACAGGGGATACAGGTGGCAGACAGTTAACGAAATGGTGCAGTGCTATTTCTTGGTGCACAGGCCGATGATGGGGAAGCCTTCAACGGGAAGGAGGATCCTGCCCGAAGCCAGTGGCTTTAACAGTCTGAGCCGCTTGGCTGCGGGTGACTGGTCCAACCGCAGGACGCTGGAAGTAAGACAGTTGTCTCACTCCCCATGTTGCTACGCACAACAGATGCGTTTGGAGCCAGGCCGTTGGAAAGTTTCGATCGTGTTTCGATTGTATTGGATAATCTACACACGGTCACGTCAATCTTTGCGCGATCGGAATGTGTGGTTTTTAGGGCCGACCTATTCTAAGCACGGTTAAACATTGTGGAAGTGTTCCATCCAGCGTAGTCCACGGGGTCATTCAAACCCGACCATTACCTCAAGCTGGCGGCCTTCGGTCAAGGAATATAGCCGCCGGGCTACGCAGGTCGACATGGGTCTTCCAGTATGACCTGCAGTCCCGACTATATCCATGCCACCGGAAGCTGATCGAGATGTGGCGTATCTGATTTCATCGTTGATTAGAAGATGAGAACGCAAAGTAGCCCTTCGAGGGAAACGTTGACTTTCTTTGATCCACACAGTTGCAGCAAGTTTTCTCCATAGTCGCCATCCCAATGAAACGTCGACCTCTTAGGTTTTTCTCGTCAGTGTCGATTGAAATAATCGCGTGTGCTGAACTCGCTGCTACAATTGCATCGACTGATTCCGGGTGACTAACGAAGATACCTAATGCTGCACACAAACCCACATTCAACCTCATGTTAATGATGACGTTCGTCAACCAGGTTGTGCGATAGTTTCACTAACCAGTGAACACTTAGTTCATCCGTTCCGAAAGGCAATGTCAAACGATGGAACGTGGACCAACAGATTCGTTGTTGGGTAATCAGCCGATTTGGTTAATCGTCGATGCAGGAAAATCTGTTCACGTCGACCCGATATGTCACGAGTACGTATTATTCTAGTGGCGGATACTACTGATGAGGCCTGCGAGTAGTCTGTTGTTTTCTCGAAGCTCCACCCCCACGTGATATGGGAACTTGTGGAACTGCTTTGCAGTGTTCGTTTACAATTCCGTGAACAAAATTCCTTGATAGTCAACGAATATGCATGAAAATTCAAGAAGACGCGTGTTCAAAAAACGCGCGTTTAAAAAGCTATTTCTTGGTGCACAGGCCGATGATGGGGAAGCCTTCAACGGGAAGGAGGATCCTGCCCGAAGCCAGTGGCTTTAACAGTCTGAGCCGCTTGGCTGCGGGTGACTGGTCCAACCGCAGGACGCTGGAAGTAAGACAGTTGTCTCACTCCCCATGTTGCTACGCACAACAGATGCGTTTGGAGCCAGGCCGTTGGAAAGTTTCGATCGTGTTTCGATTGTATTGGATAATCTACACACGGTCACGTCAATCTTTGCGCGATCGGAATGTGTGGTTTTTAGGGCCGACCTATTCTAAGCACGGTTAAACATTGTGGAAGTGTTCCATCCAGCGTAGTCCACGGGGTCATTCAAACCCGACCATTACCTCAAGCTGGCGGCCTTCGGTCAAGGAATATAGCCGCCGGGCTACGCAGGTCGACATGGGTCTTCCAGTATGACCTGCAGTCCCGACTATATCCATGCCACCGGAAGCTGATCGAGATGTGGCGTATCTGATTTCATCGTTGATTAGAAGATGAGAACGCAAAGTAGCCCTTCGAGGGAAACGTTGACTTTCTTTGATCCACACAGTTGCAGCAAGTTTTCTCCATAGTCGCCATCCCAATGAAACGTCGACCTCTTAGGTTTTTCTCGTCAGTGTCGATTGAAATAATCGCGTGTGCTGAACTCGCTGCTACAATTGCATCGACTGATTCCGGGTGACTAACGAAGATACCTAATGCTGCACACAAACCCACATTCAACCTCATGTTAATGATGACGTTCGTCAACCAGGTTGTGCGATAGTTTCACTAACCAGTGAACACTTAGTTCATCCGTTCCGAAAGGCAATGTCAAACGATGGAACGTGGACCAACAGATTCGTTGTTGGGTAATCAGCCGATTTGGTTAATCGTCGATGCAGGAAAATCTGTTCACGTCGACCCGATATGTCACGAGTACGTACTATTCTAGTGGCGGATACTACTGATGAGGCCTGCGAGTAGTCTGTTGTTTTCTCGAAGCTCCACCCCCACGTGATATGGGAACTTGTGGAACTGCTTTGCAGTGTTCGTTTACAATTCCGTGAACAAAATTCCTTGATAGTCAACGAATATGCATGAAAATTCAAGAAGACGCGTGTTCAAAAAACGCGCGTTTAAAAACTATGCGTATGAGGCGTTTACTTTCCTGTCCGATAGTTTGTAACTGTTTAGTTGGTTTGCTAATAAGCGACTTCGCGGCGAACGGCTTTCCTCTTTACACTTGTAGATCAACGGGGTGTGAACGAAGTTATAACCGCCTGCTTATTGATAGACAGAACAACCGGTTACACCAGTTAGCAGGGTGCAAAAGTCATGAACCTCAATCACGAAGCCACGATTATTATTACTTTACCACTAACCTAATAGTGACTGTAGCTTGTATGTGTTTCTCTATTCATTAACCTCGAACAACCAACGTGGAATTTCATCTCGAGCATTCACTCTATCAGCATGTACTACTAGGTTGACCAACGTACACAGTCAAATAAGTGGGCTTTTATCGGTTTATCCGAATAGTCGGTGTATCCCTTTCTTGTACCGTCCCAGCGATTTCGCCTTTTAATGAGGAGTATTGTACATGTCTTTCAGTAAATTATATCAGCTATCTAGTGGGCACCCTAAAGCCGTGAATTCCATTTCCATAACTATTCCGTTTTTGTTCTTTTCCAGCTCCTTCAGGCTGGTATACCATTTCCGAAAGTCCGGACACCAGTGGTTCTATGAACAGACATGTATTTTCTTCCTGAGTGTCGGGTGACACTGGCAAACAGTATCCCCTTTCGATGTTCCATTTGACTTCTGTGGCGCCCTTCCAACTGACTTTGATTTACATGCAGCAACTAGACTGTTTTCTATGTGCGCGGAGCTCGCTTATTCGATGCTGGTTTGCCTTGATCATTTCGGTATTCGTTCTTTCACCTTATCTCCTCCGTCACATATCCCATATCCTCACGATGTATAGTTCATGGTTCGATACGTTCTTTTTGTTTTCGTTTCTTTTGTATTCCCGTTCTTACTTCACGTTGGTGGTACGCTTCTCCCCTCCCCCTGACACGACCCCACTGTAAATTGCTCGCCCATCCCATGTCAAATCCTGAACTATATTTGACTTTCTGATGTTCGTCTACGAAAACAAGAACCCAATTTGAATTGGTCTTCCTCTTCCATTGACCATTGTTTGAAAGTTCCTGGGATGTAGACTGTCCTTCGTGTCCCCTAACACTGTTCATATTGCGTTTCCACCGCCATGCCATTTCAGATTACGAGTTGATGGATCTTGTGCCATATTTGATCAAGAAATTTCCATGTGCTATTCTCATCTGTTTCTACTTCCTCATGTCTCGCCTCCTTTTCCGCTTCCCTTAGTTTTTTCGCTGAACAAGTGGTTAGTGATACAGGTGTGAATATGATCACGAATTTTTACATTTGCTTTCCTATTTTGACTTCTGAGGCGGGCCAGCTTACTCCTTCCTGCACGCATGTATGTTACTCAGAAGAAGGGAGGTTGATGTGTCCACTGGGTTGTGAACAAGTGAGGCAGAAACTACGGTGGCATGCATGGCAAGTTGGAAATGCATGTTATGGTATGTATGTTATGCCACTAAGAGCCACAGGGGTGACTTTGTTTTCCGACTTTGGTGTTATGGGTCCTCGTCCACAGGTGAACTGATCACACTCGACAGGTTGCGTTGGTTTTGTCACATGCTCTCCATCCCGGTCGGCAGACTCCCTCAGAGAACTGTTTTTACGGAGCCACGCAGATGGTGGAAACGAGTCAGAGGAGGTTAAGTAACGACTTGGAAATGAAGTATGAAAGCCATTACAAACAAAACCAGTTGAGTTGCTGGTCATTGTTGGTCGTCGCCCCCTCCTCTTGGGAATCCGGATACGAGACACCAGTGGCTAGAGACATTAACAGACATGGTCCGGTCTCACTCTCAGTGTCACGCGTACCCTCGAGTCGTTGCCTTCAGTGCATAGTTTCATCTTATGATCTCTTAGTGAAAACTCCGCCATCACTCTTGGAGTCAGTTACATCAGCTACTACCCTCAGTACATAGCTGTCTATCCTTATCACTCCAGAAAATCGGCGTACAGAACTGTGGTAGCTATAGTGAGGCTTCGTAGCCTTTGAAGATGATAGGCTATTCTCGTCAATCGGATGCAAGCTGATTACTGGGTCTCCTGGTGCTGTCTCGCTAACACTGTCCTGACATGTAACTGCGAGTTTTCCACGAGAACATGTATTCTTTGTAATAGTTCCTTCAAATAAGCTTTCAGGATCGGGCAGCTGTCGCCTCTATTTGGCACCAGGATCAAGTTTATCTGTGAAACAACATTAGATTCGTACTTGAAATCCATTCATATGGCAACCAGCTAGTTCTTTGTACAACGGGAGCGAGAGTCCCTCAACTTCTTTACGTCAGCCCAGAGCTCTTGTGCTGGAATATTGTGGAACACCGAACTCACTAGTTGACCTCACATGAGGATAGAAGTCGCTTCCTTCGGTTCGGAATTAATTCCATCCTTGTCTATGAGGCTACTTGGATTTACGAAAAATGCGTTTTTGGTTACTATCCGTTTCTAACCTCTAATTCTGAATTCACTATAGCCTCCTTGACATGATACACCTGCGCGTCATCCCAAATTTCGGTACTGACATCGTGCGGTGTGTCAATCCTGCGGTCACGTGATTAAAATTGTGGCGCCGTAAACTTGTTTTCTTGATTTTACAAACAACAGCACCAGCTACCCATGAATTCCCCTCGTTTCGAATCCTTCCTCCCCCGTCGAATTCTCAAGCCATCGGTCGCCAATATTTTGTGAGTGAAAACTGTCGTGCAGGCGCTCGGGCGCTCTTCATGCGCCACTGCCAAACGAAGCTAGCCAGATTGATGGTTATGACATACAACCTCAGGTTTCTGCCTCATTCGAGGTATGTTGGACTATATATGGACGTATATGTTCACTGGCACAATAAATTTCAACCGGCATACATGATCATTGTCTTCTAGATGACGAATTGAGCAGTTCGTTAGCCATAAGATACCACACAGTTAAACCTCACATTACAAACACTGGAGTCAAAGGTAGTTTACTAACTATCCGCAAAAGGTCCAAATTGTTCATTCTTGTTTATTTTATGCTTCGAGTAGGTAATATCGTTCTTCGGGTGTCTCCGTCAGCTCGAAAGTATTCGGGCACGTGTAACTCTGCCACCTGTTTGCAGGTTTCCTTTTCTATGTGTACTTTTTGTGGACATCAAAGTGGTTCGTGTTAATAGCTGTGCACATAGATGATTCATTACTAACAACATGCTCAGATTACCAAGGTAGAAGGCAAGGAACAGAAGGAAGCCGAAGGACAAGTAGGTGGGCATAGCCACTGTCTGTAAAATCACCATCAGAACGTATCCGAGATATTTTTACCAGTCGCGTTCATTTCTTCAGTTTTGCACTAATACGTAGGTTGACCTGGATATACAGATTGATTTTTCGACCATTCTTTTTTTGGTGTTTAATTGAGACCTCATGTAAGAAGGCTGCTAGGATGACTGTGAAGTGCATACATCAGTGGCCGATTGATTTAATCTTCAACCACCAGCCAGGAGGTTGTGATTTCGAATCTCCCTGGAAATTCGCGCTATTGATGGTTCTCAATAAGAACGAAACATTTGTACAGTACTTTCAGCATAGGTTGACTTTCTCTACAGGACGAAATCTTGATTCGGAAATGTCGGTCTTAATTATGAAACCTGCGAACGGAGTATCCACAATGGGGCGGAGGAGGGGGAGAAGATGGACCACTTCGAAGTATAAGAAAAACTCAGCAGCAGCATGCTGTCGCTTGCGTCTACTGCTATGTGCGTTAAGTGAGGCGGCGAGGCCGATGTAGTATGACATTATTCTTAGTTGCCAAGTTTAGTCGCACGTAGTCTGAGTTACCTCCAGGACGGGAGTGTAGGACCCCCAACTAAAACGTTTGCATCAAAAGCTTACCCTTGAGATATATGCCACCGCCATCACGGTGGTATACGTTTTTAAGAAGTAGGCGTTCCGTGCTTCACTCTGGAGATGAGGCAGCTGCGTTCGTTGGACTTCCATCTATTGACGACCCTGGTATGAGAAGCTGTGTAGACGCTGAAGTGAACTCCACTAATGTAGTTCATGTAAGTTCACAGACCGTTGTACCATAATAAGACCGTATTTTCATCAGCGAAAACTTTGAGGGAATTGACTTTAAATAAACGAAAATATGTGAGCCACCCCACTTGGTGTTTCTAGCAATTTATCTCCGGTCATTTTACCCGAAAGGCACTGTAAGTAGTTCGGCAATAACTTAAGGCGCTTCTGGGCAACATTTTGACTGCTGTTTGCCTATTTCCTTTTGTAAGAGGTCACCTTGGTCTTGCATTCCCTTACTGTCAACTTTGTATACCCGGCGTGTCAACATTTCTCTCCACGCAAAGTAAGGGTGACTGGTTCGTGATGAGTTGAACCAGAGCCCAGTCGAATTATCCCATTCCTTAACCGTGGAACTGTATGGGAATATAGAGCAGAGTTTAAACGTAGCTGACGATGGCTGCTGATCTAGCTACTCCACAGAAGCATTTTGAACCATCATCCTCCATGTATGGCCTAGTCGCTATCCGAATATCGTGTCCGTTGTACATGCTTTGATCCCTGTAGGAAGGTCTTACCGCCACCGAAAACAGTCCGGTTACTAACTCCAGCTAATCAGGTAGTTCGGTTCAAGGTAAGTTCAATCGTACCTTAGGGCGTTTGAGCTCGACACACTTCTTCAGTCTCTTGTACTCAAGTATTGTTGCAAATTTTTCAGCTTTTTGCACGTGTCGAGTGACCACAACCTCATAGACCTGCTGCGCTCTCGATAAGTCTGAGTTTATATCGGTTTGTGGAATGATCCAACTGACAATACTAATTGATACTCGTCATCATGGATAACAGTAGGCCAGAAGCGGAAATGGATGCCGAACTACCGTACAACCATGAATGAAGTTGGGCAAAAAGAAACTGAATGGGTGTGAACTTATTGTGATTCCCATCTTTGGGGTAAACGGTCAATAGCAAGGTATCTGTAGCTCCCAAAACTACTAAAATAAACCTATCTGAGAATCACACTTGGACCGCACACCACGAACAGGCTTTCCAACAAAAACCAAACAACCACTGGCAATTCCTTGACAAGTGCCTACACCCAAACATCAGAATGGGTGTTGTTGCTCAGTACTGCCACACATTGTCACGAGTAGGTGGATGGGATATTCTAATGTGATAACGCAGTCGTTCAGACTTCTTATTACTGGTTTCTGTTCTGTCGAGACTATCGAACATACAGTTCTAATCTCAGCCGAATTGAGAACTTCGGGGCATACTAGTTTAACGTGTCAGGGTATTTGATTCTCGCCAATCCCAGGTTTATTCTGTTTAAAAAGGTGTTTTCGCCTGGTAAACCAGTGGAGAGGTTATGTCGAAAAGCCTGAATGGTTCCAGAGTTTTTTCTACAGGAGGGACTGATTCGATTCGCATACTGAATGAAAACCTAGATCGTTCAGCGCCACGACGGAGCGTGCTACCTGGCTTGTGCTGTCACATTGTGATGTTGATTGTTTGGCTGTTGGTCTGTTTGCTGAGCTTGGCGGTTGAATTACAAACGTATCATCACAAGTCGAGGTGACATCATCACTGCGGGGTTGAGTGGGTAAATTTCTTTCCTTCTGCCTTTCGTTATATGGTCTCTAAACAGCGCCTAATAACTGTAATGTATTTGGTTGGTCCCGAGGTGGCCTTCGCGTAATTTGCTTCGTCGCGTGGAAATCTGGATTACGTCGTGGTCTCATTCCTTGTATCTGGTTGGTCCGTTGTGATAGGGTTGTTTCTTTGCTTTATGGTCTGATTTTGTTCCACTTGGTTGGCTGATTCAATAGCCTTCTATTTCGGTACCTTTCTCTCGTTGATCGGGTTACTCTTTTATTTGGCAATTTGTTGGTCTCCCGTTTCAGAGTCTTGATATCGATTATTCGGTCGATTTTGGTGTTCGTGTATTCTGGTGGCAAGTTTTCCAGTTTGACCAACATAGTGTCTGTCGTAGTCCCTAGACTGAAGTTTTTGGATTACGTTCGCATGCAACATTCCCTTTGGTTTCGAGAGGGTTCTTCTCAACCTGCTTACAGGCCTGAAGGCGACTATTAGTTCATATTACCGTAAATGTCTTGCAGTCGTTTCCACGACAGTTTTGATATGAGGAAGCGTAATCCTTCTCTGTTCTGGTTATGTCGGCAAAACAGCTTGGCATTGATTTTGTAACCATCTCCATATCAAGTTCCTTGGTTAGCTATTATTTTTAAATGTCTGATAAAGTCTTCGCTCTTCTTTCGTCTTCGA